TTCGTACGTGCATGCGGTTGTTGTCTAAACGCGCGCGAGGGAAAGAGGGGCGAGTTTAAAAGGGTGGCTCATCGGCGTCGCGAAGGTAACGCCAGCGGCTCCTGCCGATGTACAGGTTGTTTCTTCGATTCCGGTCAGAAATCTGGAGGATCATGCAATTCCCTATCATTCCGTTCTCCGTTCAAGCGCATTCAAGATGCAACGAATACACTCGTGTAATTTGAAACACACGCTAGCCACGAGTGTACTCACGATCGGCAGCGAGTAGGTTAAACGTTGTTTTCGAATGTTTCATATTGCGGTATTACACAACTAAATACGTAAGACAGTTGCAAAATCTTCTTCGATTAGAATCCAAGTTAACGCGATTACCAGGGCGAAGCAAGTAACGGTAATCCAGTTTGTATTCAAAATACCCGGATTATCATCCGTTTAAAAAGTTTGATTAAGCCCCGGAGGGCTCGCCCTATCAGTTATGGGTTAACCGGTCTGAAGTCTCGAGAATTGTTTGGCCCAGTGGTGTGATCTTTCAGTTTCTTTCGCGTAATTCTATTTTCCTTTCTTCGGGAACTTCTTTAAACTTCTCCTCGTCCCCCGGTGTTCCGTACAGTTAAACCGAGGACCATAACCGGGTCGAGATGAATGAGTTTCTTAAAGATGTTTCAGAAGTCGCGATCGCAGTGCGTCGGACAGGGGAGAGGTTGAATGCGGAAGGTCGCCGGTAGGGGCGGCGATAATGAAACCGCCTGTACAAGCAGCGCATTACTTCGCGACGGGCCTGTGTTCGTAAGTAATGTATCGCGTTCTTTGGAATACACCCTTTCCCTCCGCGGCGCCATTCTCATCCCCGCGACACCCTTTACACCGATCCACCGCCCTTCTCGCTTCCTCGCGCGTCGTCTTGCTCTTCCCCTGATTGTTCGCCGATGTGTTCGCGCGCCTTGCAGACTCGTAGGACAACCGCGTCGCGCGGACACAATGGAACATTACGGAACAATCGACGATGCATGCCTAGGGGCCGAATGAAAGTGTCCCCGTTCCCTGGTAAATTAGTCCGAATTGTCGCGGAGCCAATGATCTCGGCGACAATTTCTTCGTTCCCCCCCTTGCAGAGTTTTCCGCGTTTCCCCTACCGTTCCCAACGGTTTCCTCGCTTCTTCGCGGATGTTTCGTGCACGTACGAAAACGATCGCGAGGCCGTTCGTAATTTTTGACGATGGGAAAGTTCGACGCACACGGCATTACGGACACCGGGGAACCGGAAAGTTTCGGTCCCGGAGCAGCACGCTGCGCGAGCCATTATAATCACTGGCTAAAGCTGGCTAATTTCGTATGAACTTGTTTAAACTTCTCCGAACTTTTCCGCCCGTTTTTTGCTCATTATTTTCACACACAGCTCCCTCCGCGCGCGGAAATCCCCGTGTTCTTTGTTATTGATAAACTCATCAGCCGTTCGAATAGAACCACCGAAACGTATCCGTCAGAGGCAAAACTGAATTCACCTCGGAATATCGAACGATTCGAAGATAGAAATAAATCCACACGCTGCTGTCGGATATAAATATGACCGGAATCGGCGAGGAACTCCGGCGGTCGATGTAACAATCGAACGGACGGAACTATCCTCCGACATCCGTTCCGCTTTAACGCCCCGTCCATTCGGATTGCGGCGACCGGAGCGCGAAAAGAAATTCCAGCGCGAAAACTAATTAAAGTTCCCGGATCTCTTGGCGGCGCATGAATCGCCGATCGTTACCGGCATTATCTCCCCGCGTCGCTATACCGTGTCTATCAAGCGCACGGACTCGAATTGCCGCCGGGCGGGCGGGTACACGTTCGCGCGGAGTGAACCGAAACTAATCTTCCATTGGAGGATACAGCTGGCCGAGCACAGCTTTTAAGCGGAGACACTTCGCCGCGGTGATAAACGAAGTCCGCTTTGTCTTCGAGTTACCGCGGGTGCGAGATACAGCCGCGCGGCAACGAGGTTCACGGCCATCCGTTATCTGGAGCACCGCTATCGGGCGTCATGGAACACCGCTATTGAACCGCAGAGCGCACGGTCGCAAGAAGCAACGGCTAGGTGCAAATTTGTCGGCCGTGCCTCATGATTATCGGACTGTCGGCTAAGTGGGGCGGCCGGGGGCCGGCACAGCTCGTGCCTCGAGTACGTTCAACTCCGCATCCGCGTTCTAGACAACTGCGTTACCCGCGAACCGCAACGGCCGAGATGTCTGCGCTTTTTACGCGTCCTCGGCGCGGCACGGAGCGGCGCTCTGTCTGGCCGCCGCGTAACGAACGCGAGAGCCCGTCCGCGCGGAAAAGCAAAAATTAAACGCCGTACATGTGCAAACGGGATTATCGGGGACCCGCGCGTCGCGTCGAGAAAGGCTATCTTCTTTCTGAGCCACGGCTAAAGCTCTCAAAGTCGATTGCACGGCAACTAGAAAGGTATTACGCGAGAATGCGACAGTAATTTGTAGAGCGCGATTACCGCGGAAAGCTGGTCCTTTGTGGATACCTCTTTTTTTTCGAGAATGTAATTCCTCTGTCTGGCTTGCGGCGGAAATACCGGCGCAGTCTCTTGGGCCTCGGACTTTTTGCGCGATGATATACAAACTCTGCCGGTGCATTATAATGCGGAGGATCGTGTTTAAGGGGCGAACTTCGCCATTCATGGGGAAACTAAGGTTTGATTGCGATGTGCTCTGTAATAGGAATTATTAACAGTGAAAAACGAAGGACTCGGGCCGCGGCTTGGGCAAAGATTTCCACGTTAGAGCGTGAAAATATTCGAAAGCCGATAGAACCTTCCCTAGGGTGCCAAACCTCTCTACTTTCAATACACTTCTCCGAGCGATTTTTCGCTTATTTTCGATATTGGATCGACTTCGAGCTGGTACCTCCGTAGACGTCCAGGTTACCGTTACTTCGTAAACGTTACGGATTTTACGAACGAGCGGTATTTTGAACGTTAAAAGTAGTTTAGCGATAAGAGGACGTTGTTATAAATCTCAGGGGAACCACCGAGAGAGCCCATTAATATCAATGAAGCAGTTGT